CAAGTACAGTTAAGGCACGAAGAAAACATATCAAAAGCCATCAGGTGGCAGGCTTAATTGCCCCAGCCCTGTGCTGGCTTGGGATGTTCATTTACATCAAACCTTTTACTTCAGCAATTAGACTGTGCTAATTTTGTGCTAGCAGAGATAATGCTAAATCAAGCTAAACAACTAAGTGTTGTCAGAACCCAGGAAGACTCAGTGGTTTGGAAATTATGATTAACTTAATTGTAATGAAACAGCTACAGAAACTCTCTTCCCCCTCTGGATGACCTCAGAGGGACCAAAGGAAAACTGGTTCCCTAGATTAGATTTAAATGTTGATCATGTTATCCTTGAGTAGAGCTACATCTGAAATAGTTTGACAGGTAATATACCTCCCTGAGGTGGACACTGATAAGAACTTCTAGTTACTTTAGGACAGATGTTAAATGAGTCACTTATCTATGAAATCATTTAACTTGGACAACATGAATGCACATGGTGAAAGCCACAGACACACACACATATCCTGTTAGCTGAGATTTTGGAATCCTGTGACTTGTTCCATAACAGCAAAACTTTCAACGTCTTGCTTTTTTAACTAGCTAGAATAAATACGCCCCGAAAACCTTTAGTATGAGAAAACATTACTTCAAAGACATTATGCAGATACGCCAATGTTTTTGTAACCCCTTTATTGATTGGGAGGGGAAAAAATACAGAAATTAACAAAATGTCAATAATTAAAACTTCAGGTGCATAGCAACTGGCTAGGAAACCCCATGCACATCTAGCAACCAAATGTGTCCCTGTACATGCACTACCAACTGACCGTCATGCTTCAGTGCTTAAGCCAATCTCTAACTATTAGGGGGTTAAGATGAGGCCCCTTCATGGGGGGGGGGCAGTTTATCCTACATCTGCCTACTGGGAAGTTTTTTGCACCTTGTTCTGTAACACTGTCATAGCCTGGACCTCACACTAGACTCTGATCCAACATGACAATTACTATGACCTGGGCACGTTTCCTTTTGGCTTCTCAATTCAGAGTTCAAGTCCCAAATTCAAAGTGATTCTCCCGGAAAGTTGCAGCTGTAACAGCCCTGATGCCTCAGCTGTTACAAAATGCTACATGCAGCTTTTTTGTATAGATAGTTGTTCACACCAGCTGAACCCCAAAATGCGCCGCAGAAATCAATGCTGGATAACAGCAATGGGAGAGGCAGGCTATGAGTTACGGTGAGAGAGAAACTTTCTGGAAATATTTGCAGAGAAACTGTTCTGTGCCTAACTCTGCTCACTGTGGCTGAAGTGGGCAGAGGATGAAGCCAGGTGAGCATTGTTGCTGTGTCACTGCTCTCACAGACGTGGTCTCTCGCCATTTTTCTCATGGGAACAGATTTTGATCTCAATCACACTGGTGTAAATCCAGAATAAATCCCCTGACTTTACTGGATTGACTCCAGATATACACTCTGGCCCATCATCCTTTTATAAATCACTGGTCATCTTTGCCCCTCTCCCTCTGTGTGCAAAGGTTGATGCAGATCTTGTCTTGGAAATTTTATGGCACAAAGACACAAGTACTTTTTGGCTCCCATGTGTCTTTGTTGCACGACAGACCCCTTGGGGAAAACCTGTTTGATTAAGCTGCAGATGTGAGCGTGGCAGAGATGTGAGATCCAGGGAGAGGATGGAGGTCTGAAAATGTTCACAGTCAGTGATAAATGCCACCATATCTTTCCCAGTGATGCCAGAGGACTTTCTGGGTTGGGATCTTTTTGTGGATTGTGCTGGAGAGAAAAACCTTTCTAAAGCAAGGACTTGCAATATTTCATGTGCATTCTGTATTTTCCGCATCCTATGGCCAAAACTCCAAAGAAAAGTAGAGCCAGTTTCCACTTTTGGAAAGGCACAAAAACCACAATCATAATTAAGCAGCCAGTCCCTTTAGCAGCTCTGTGTGGCGTGTGGCCCATGCCACAGGCTCCAAGTTACACAGCCTATTCCGTTCCCGAAGGTAATCAGCCCGAGGAGCAGAGTTAAAATCATTAAAAATGACTGAAATAGTTTTTTTTAACAAAAAAGACCAGTGAAATTACCTTCTTTAGAAATGATTCACTCACATGAAGCAAACTGGGAAGCTTCAGCCAGGGCAGAAAGTTGCTGCTTCCTTGCTTAGACTACACTGGCTACTAATTTGCTTCCAAATGCAATTTGTGTTATTGGCTTCAATCACTACAGCCTTGCATGATTTGCGTCCTGGCTACATCAGAGATTGCAGTTCTCCTCATGCTGCCCCTAGAGAGCAGCTGGGAATCTCCTGAGCTGGAAGCTCTCAGGAACTGGTGGCAAGGACCTCTCCGCATGAGGTCCTCAGCTATGCAATTTGCCTTCTCCTGCTGCTCTGTCAACCCCCAAACTTGTTGACCTTTCGGGAATGATGTGAGGCTGGTCTGTTTACTCAGGGAGATGGCGAAGTGGAGGATTTCTGTGAGCATAAGAACGGACATACTAGGTCAGACCAAAGATCCATCTAGCCCAGTATCCTGTCTTCCGACAGTGGCCAATGCCAGGTGCCCCAGAGGGAATGAACAGAACAGGGAATCATCAAGTGATCCATCCCCTGTCACCCATCCCCAGCTTCTGGCAAACAGAAGCTAGAGACACCATCCCTGCCCATCCTGGCTAATAGCCATTGATGGACCTATCCTCCATGAATGTATCTAGTTCTTTCTATAGTCTTGGCCTTCACAACATCCTCTGGCAAAGAGTTCCACAGGTTGGCTGTGTGTTGTGTGAAGAAATACTTGCTTTTGTTTGTTTTAAACCTGCTGCCTAATAAACCTGTGCAATTGGGTTTGATGCTGGGTGGAATATTTTGGGGTGATTTTTCCTCTTAGTTTGTTATTTGGTTGGGAGGTGGGTTAAAGATCAAGCTACAATGAACAGATTGTTACAAATGAAGAACTTGTTTTAGAAATGTAGCCAAGGACAATTTCACCAGGTAATGCTGGCAGTTCCTAGCAGAAATTATCGTTAATGGGAGTTGCATGTAATTTCTCTATTTCTGATGGGCAGCACTAAGAGTGAACACATTATAAATCCTAAATTTAAACCTAATGGATTATTCCAGTTGGTTTCCTTTGACAAACAAACTGAGCATTTGGTAAATGCTGTTGCATTATACATCCATTGCTTCTGTGTATATATATATATTGCTTCTCCAATCTTCTTTTATGCATCTCCTTGAAATAACTCAGTAATAGTATTGCTATTATTGGGGTTGGGGGGGGGAGAGAGAGAGAGAGAGAGAGAGAGAACACTTTATGCTGCTCTGAAAATAGGTGAACATTAATCCCCAGAATAGCTCCCTTCTTTTTCCAAAATGCTGGCTGCTGTGGAACTCTGGGTTCTTCTTGTCTCCCTTCTGGCTATATAGAAAACTGGAACCTGAAGGACTTTAGATAAGGGATTGATAGGGGTGGCTAATTCTGGGCAGAGAGCTGATGAAATAAATGTATTCATTTGTGTATATTTATTAAGTCTAGCTGGAGTTGATGCATCCCAGTCATGTCACATTTCAGTGAGGTTCCAAAGCTGCTGTTTTGCACTGCAAGGTGTTTGCCAGCCCTGACATCACCACATCTTCATGCTGACTTTCCTAAATGGTGAAGATATTGACAAACGGCAGAGCTAGAAGTTGGTTAAAGAACAAAGTTGAGTGCTGCAGGGAAAATTTACTGCAAAATCCAAAGTTCAGCAAGGCCCAAATGTTCAGGGCAGCTTGGCAAGGTGTACATTGCCCTCCACCGGTGGTCTTACTTCCTCCCCCTCCTCTTCATCCTTCCAACACTGCCAGAGTTTCTGTCTTCCCAATGAAGTAACCAGATGCTCCCTAATGTGTGGAGCTTTTCATTTCAGACAGCGATGGAAACACAATGGAAAATGGCATCATTAAACAATTATAGATTTTTCAAAAACAAGCCCTTGGATGAGACAAAACATTCCACTGGCTACAAAACCTCCTTCACTTCCACTGAAACCAGCCAGCTCCCATTTTGGTGCTAGAACTTGTAGAAATAGTTCCTGTCACAAGGACATGGGCTTTGCCTTTGCGCACTGAAGCAGAGGAGCTTTGTCCTTCTGTTGCTTAGAAATATACAATAATCATTCATTTAAAATAAACCGATCTTACTTTGCATGTGGCTATGGTCATTGTCAGAGTGTTTTAAAATGGGGCTTGGACAGCAGCTCTCCAGCTAGGACTTGCAAGGCCAGCTTTGGAAACGTGACTTTCCCAGGGGTATATGACAACTAAGTGTACGATCAGCGAAAAACAGCTCGGGGCACCTCAATAAGAACTGAGTAACTCTGAGTCACAGGGAAGGACATGATGCCACCAGTGCTCTCACCCCACTCTGCCCCATTGCTGTATTCACTCTAGTGAGATCTTTTCTGTGGTTACGTTCACAACCCAAACACATTTCCAGGGGAACCTGCCGGCACCAGACCCAACTGGGTTGGGTCTTATAAACCCTGTTCAGAGCCACCCACTAGTCCAAGGTCATTGCCTCGTCAGTGTGGGTGGGTTACACTCAGCGCCTTTGCTTCCTCATCCCCCAAAGCTGGATCCTAGCCCTAGTGTGTGCAAAATGACATCCACCAGTAGAGGTCACCACACACCTCATTAAGTGCACTGGCACTGAGACCAATTCTTAACTAAAATCTGAGGCAACAGCAATCTAGGTAGGTGATGGTGTATGTATATAAAAAAAGGTAAGTGAAAGGGAAGGCCTGACTGATTGTGCTAACTAGAGACAAGCACAATGCAGCCAAGTGATATGCAAGCTTCCTCCACACAGCTCTGCCAATGCCCCCTCAGTCCGGCCCCACAGCCCATGATATTCCAGCCCTGTGCTCCCAGACCTCCACCAATGCATCCAGCCTCCCACCAGTTCTGTGCCTAAGACTGACAATAGTGTCCAACTTACACATGACGTATGCTTGCCTCTTAGAAAACCAGGATTCCAGTCGGAAGCCAGAAGCCAGCAGCAAAGCACGGAAGGAGAGGACAGCGTTCACCAAGGAGCAGCTGCGGGAATTAGAAGCTGAATTTGCTCACCATAATTACTTGACAAGGCTCAGGAGATATGAGATAGCTGTGAATCTGGACCTCACCGAGAGACAGGTACCTCTGGAATATCTGCCTCCTCAGCTGTGCCCCCCTGACAGGGCTATTCCTGCCTAGACAGAAGGGTGTATGTACAATATATTCACATTGCACCCGTTTCTACTTTTGCAAATGTGCATAAATATTTGTACATAACCTGAAAAACTTTGTAGCAAATCTAACAAATGCAGTTTAACATGGAGATAATTGAGAAGCTGATTTCTGGTATTTGGTTAAAATATACATGTTTAAATATAATTTTAAGCTGCAAAAAACATTTCTGAATGACTGGTGTCTAAGTGCCTTCAGACGACCTATCCCATTCACTGGCACAAACCAAAAGGCTGATACTTAATAAGAAAGGCTGGGTGGCAGCTCCCAGGTTCTGATAACCAGGGCTGAGCTATGCCTTCAAGGTCCACAATGCCACAAACACTGCAGCATCCCAAGGAGCCCAGCAGTAAAAGACACAAGAGTGCAGGGGATGTTAGATTCTCATCTGATGAGCTGTCTTCTTTCAGGCTAAGGGAATGTTGTGAACTAACTAGGGAGTATAAGAGTGAGGGGAGTGTGGACTTTGATGTTCACTATGCTCCCAGTTTCCTGGTCTGCTCTTAGGAAGGGTTCTTCTATCAAGGCTTAATAGTTGGGCAATAAAGGAATTAATCAAGTGAAGAAAGGGAAATAGTATACGCTGAGCTGACTCAGATAGGCCTATTAGAAATATGATAGGAAGATGGACAGGTGTATGCATAGAGTACTCCTGGGAGAATTCTGCGTCACTGCGCATGCACAGAATTCATGGCCCCCGCAGATTTCTGTGCTTCTCCACGGAAAAATGACTTCTGATGGGGAAACAAAGGGAAGCCACAAGAGGAGTCATCTCCTCCTCCCTGGCAATGCAGGCAGATCAGTTTGGGCACCCACAGCAGCTGGTAGATGTAAATCACTGAGGTGGGGAGGAGCTGGGCCATCATATGTGTGTGACAGAGACACTCTGTCCCTCTCGCTCGCTATTGCGGCATGCTCAGCGTGGAGGGGTGGGGCTTTGGAGTGTTTCTGAAGAGGTAGGTGTGGGGCAGGCTCTGTTCCCTCAGTGAATTGTTCCCTTTGTCTTTGTGAATTCCCCCAGGAGTATAAAACAGGTGTATACATTTTAAGGCTCCTTTACCTTGCCAGAGTGGTGGAAAGGAGCCTTATTGTAAAGGACAGTGTGGCCTTATAAATGCGTATGGTGCTTTGGTGATTAGAACTGGTCTACATTTTTGGACTGAAAATTTCCTAGCAAAATGTGCTCCATGAACTGTTTCCTACTGACCTTTTTGGAGATGGTCAGTAGCCAGTATAAACTGTGAGTTTGAGTCCCCAGTCCTCACTTGCGTGCTCTTCGGTTGCCTATGATGTAACACTGAGCATGGCTGCATATATTTGTTGACTAATAGCTAGAAATAAAGGGTCAATACTAGCTACATTTCTAATAGACAGAGGGGGTTTGGTGATTTCCTCCAATTCTCCCCACTCCCCTTCTCCATCCATTGTGTTGTAGTTTAAATAAATTATCAAAATAACTGAAACCAGCTTGATTATATTCCATTATTTTTACCAAAAAAAAATGCAGAATTTTGCAGGCAAGAGAGAGACAAGACACATCTTTTATTGGCCCAGCTTCTGTCAGTGAGAGAGACAGAAGCTTTTGAGCTTACACAGAGCTCTTCTTCAGGTCTTCTTCTTCAGAAGGTCTCTGTGTAAACTCGAGAGCTTGTCTCTCACTGACAATAAAAGCTATGACCTCACCCACCTTGTCTCTCTAGTATCCTGGGACTGACATGGCTAGGACAACACTGCATAGGTGTATGCAGAGACAGATAATGGGGAGCTGATGAATAATTCCTTCCTTTTCTCATCCAGGTTAAAGTGTGGTTTCAAAACCGAAGGATGAAGTGGAAACGTGTGAAGGGCGGGCAGCCAGTGTCCCCTCACGAGCATGACACAGAAGATATGGACTCTGCTGCCTCCCCGAGCTCTGAATAGCTCCTCGCCAGTAGTAACGTACTGACGAATGCAGGAAGGGTTGTCAGTCAGAGAACTGACGCCACACAGTTTAGCAGCAGCTGTATCATTAACAGGTGCCCCTCCCTGCTCAAATCATCTCATCCTCCTGTGTGTGACTGTGGAAGTGGTGTGCCTTAACATGCCTTCGGAACTGTAAAGGGCACACAGGAAAATCCAGAGGAGGGTCTGACTGAACTCTCACCACTGCCATCTTGGCAATGCCAGTATTTCTTCAAAATAATAACTAAACCCATTGACTATGAAACAAATAAAGCTGACTAGAGCTGGATTTCTAAGAACCAATAGTGGTCTTCAAGTCCTCAAAAGACACAGTTTAGAGGCATCAGTTTAGGGTTCAGTGGGGCAGTAATGTAGCTCCCCAACATATAACCTTATCCAGCATCTCTCTTTGGTCACTGCTATTTGCCAAACCATAAAGGACTTGAGCATTCCACAGAAGTGTTTTCTTCGTGCATCACTCCACGAGTAACGAACACTCTGGTATCCACTGATGTTTCCTGTGTCATCCAAACTGAAAATATAAATGGTTATAAGCAAGTCTGGGGGGCAGTGGGAATGTCAAACAAAAGTGTGGCCCCAAATGCTACATAGGCCTCCAGCCATCAGTTTTGGAAGGGATCATTCCCACAAGGACAAGGGCTCCAATTAGAGCTGAGATGGCAGGCACCTTTCTGATACGCTTGTGTGAATGAGATACTGGAGGTTTGTTTAATTAATCTTAGTGTAGCTGCTGAAATCAGAACATTAAATCTCACAGGGAATATTTTCATAACCACCGCCACCAAGTATCAAATCAAGTGTAATGAGGTCATGAATCATCACTGTTCTGCCCTGGACACTGAAATATAGCTGATTATATCTTCTGAAAGAACGCTGCTCCTTTCTGTTGTGTTCGTCACACTTCTTTCTGGAATGCCTCTGGGTATTACCTGCAGTTTCCTTTGTTACAACTCAGGACTATCTGGGTGAGCAGAAAACAGTGTCCTGTGAAATGATTAGTTGAATTTATCAGTCTTAAGTTCTCGTTTCTTTTTTACTTGGGATCAGAACGTTCTTCCTGTCGGCATGCAGGTATGTATATGGGAATTATGTATGAATATACATGTCCATAATGTTCTATGGATAAATATTTACTATACATGCACTCAGGGTCGGATTAACTCTTCTGTGGGCCCAAGGCTATTAGATTTTGTGGGGCCCCTGTATACAAGTCTTTTTCCTAATTTAAAACAAAATGATCACAAATTATGGCATCGAGGCTATTAACACTGTACTAAACTTGCCTTTTAATTAACATAAAGCCGTTCTGTGGTTATATTTCAGTCTTAAAACATGCAGAATATAGTTAAGTTAATTCAAAATAGCCTACTTCTTACCTTAGAACAGCTGTTAGATTAGTTTCTTTCTGGGAGGGACTTTGGGTGCAGGAGGGGATTCTGACCTGGGGCAGGAAGTTGGGGTGCAGGGTCTGGGAGGGAGCGTGGGTGCAGGAGGGGATTCTGACCTGGGACAAGGGGTTGGGGTACAGGAGGGGGTGCAGGCTCCAGCTGGGAGGTGCTTACCACAGGCGGCTCTCGGCCGGCAGCCAACAGGGCTCAGGCAGGCTGCCTGCCTGCCTGCCATAGCCCCATGCCGCTCCCGGAAGCAGCCAGCAGTCTCTACACGCCCCTACGGGGAGGGGGACAGCGTGTCTCCATGCGCTGCCTGCGCCCGCAAGCACCACCCCCACTGTGGGGATGGAGGTGGGGCAGCGTGCAGAGCCGCCGCCTCGTCAGGGACCACAGAGATGTGCCAGCAGCTGTCCGCTTCCGAGAGCGGTGTGGGGCCACGGCATGCATGCAGCCTGCTTGAGCCATGCTGCGCTGGGGCCCCTTTAGCCCTGGGCTGTAGCCCTAAAGCCCCTGCGTTAATCCGGTCCTGCATGCACTCCTAATCAATATTCAGGCTGATCAAATTAGTAATTAATCATCTAACGAATTTAGCCCTTTTTTTCTGTTTCCAAACTTTCCACAGACAGACTGATTTTTGTGAATGCATTCACTGTTTGCAATTGTTTGAACAGTTTATGCAAACAAATTTTAGCCTATGAATTGTTTGCAAATTATTCACTTTCATTGTTTATGCTGTGTGATTGGTTGCCTATGCTGCATGGTATTGTTTCTGCTTCCTGATTAGATGACAAAACTTTTTAAAACAAGGCAGCCTAGCAAACCACAAGTGAAGAAAAGGAAACACATCATAATTAATTATCTTGTTTGTGCACATCCTCTTCAGCGTGTGAATCCGGGTGCTAGTAGTAGGAAGAACAATCATTCCCCAAACATCCACGTGAGCAAAAACTTGTTCACACAAATGTCCATTAATATTGAATTAAAAGGGGCAAAAACACAGTCAAACTGACCAGCTGTTTGGAACTCAAATGAAGGCTCATGAACATTATTTTGCAGTATTCAACCAACTCTATTATCCACTATGATATCATAGAGTCTGAGCCAGCCCCAAAGTGCATGAACAGAAGTAAAGAACAGCCCAGCTTCCATTTAGGCATTACAAGAAGTAGCTACATTTTGAAGAGAGCTCAGCATGGTGGGTACACATTGGTTGCTAAACTCCATTAAAAATCTGGCCACTCATTAAGGTGCTTAAAATGGGAGATGAGCAAGAAATGGACCTTTAGTGACCTCTGCTGATCTCAGATCTGCACTGGAGCACTAGTAGCCAGCGGATTTTATGAGATGTGTCTGAGGACGGGATCCACCCAAAACAATCCATAAACCATGCGGCAATTTGATATCCGTGGTGCTGGTTTAACCTCATTTTAATCAGCTATCACCAGATTCAGAGGGAAGCACGAGACTGCCACCTTTATGCACAATGGTCATGTACCATGACATAGTCCATCTAGCATGCTCTGAGTTTCCCAGGAGCTTTGAAGAAGGTGCAGTCTCTGGAGGATAGCTGCAGCAATACCCACTTTGCAAGCCTCCTGGTACAAAGAGAGAGAGTCCTGAAGAGACATAATTAGGACCTAATTCACCTGAATTATAAAATATCTGATGCAAGGGTTTTGTTGCAAACAAGCTGCAAAGGTACCAATATGATTCCAATCCAGAAACACATTGAAATGATATCACAGTTCTATCATTTCCAGCTAGAACTGTCCGGAGATGTTTCTCAGTGGTTTGGGCACCTCCTCATTTAAGACAGTTCTTTACCAAGTTGCCTACAAGGCACTTAACCTAATAAAATGAGCCCTGAATATTGACGCCCCGTTGCCCCCTTTATAGTGTAATTAATCCTGTTATAGTTGCCAATACATTGCTCTGATTTTGTCTCAGGATCCTTAAGTGCCCTGAACACCCCCAGCTGTCCCAACAATGCCACCTGAAATTGGCCTCTTTTCACCAAAGTTTGCAGTATATCAAATTATAAATAGTTTTAGAAAAAAATATAGTGTCTATTCCTTTTGTTTCATGTATGCTAATGTAATGTTTCCATATTGTAACAGAATCTCTAACTTTCTTAGAATGATATATGAAATATTGACCTTTTTAAAGGACTGAAATTCATGTTTAAACATTTTAAGGTAACATCTATTTGCTATCAGATTGTGTCATGCTATTTGCACATACCTGCAAGCCAGTATCATGCTGTTTGCATTTTGATGTTACTCTGATGCACTGATAATGACAGACCCTAAATGTTCTAGCAAACTCCAGTCTCTGTTCTTTATTCCCAATGTATAAGCTTTGCAGAAATGGTTGGATGCCCAGTTTCATATCTGGATTGTCAGTTAAAAAAATTATAACCATGTTACACTTTGCAAAAGATGTCCAAAAAAATAAATACAAAAGTTAAAGTAAGCAAGAGTCTGGAATCCTTTTCCAGAGCTGAGAATTATTGTGTGTGCTGAGCAAAATCGTCCATTCAGATCCTTTTCTTTTAATATCTCCAATCTTTGTATGACTGATGACAATTCACAAAGTCAAAATGTGTATAATGATTTTAAAAATAAAGTAACTTGGTGAGGGAAAAGTTATACACAATATTTTCCTATTCAAACAATAAAGCCCATAAGAGAATATAGGTCTGTATAGAAATTTTAGAGGATATATTTTTATGTTCAAAAATTTTAGAGTCTCTAAAACTTTCCTTTCCATTAATCAAGAGACAAGGTGAGTGAGGTAATATCTTTTATTGGACTAAACTCTGTTGGTGAGAGAGGTCCTGAAGATTTCTGTGTAAGCTTGAAAGCTTGTCTCTCTCACCAACAGAAGTTGGTCCAATAAAAGATATTACTTCACCCACCTTGTCTCTCTCATATCCTCGGACTGACATGGCTACACCAAAACTGCATACTTTCCATTATTCATATTTCTATTGTATGCTTGAAAAAGTAAGATTACTGACAACTTCACCAGCTTTCAACAGGTGACAATGAAATGTCATGGCAGCTTGGGAGATGTTCAGACAATGGGAAGTAATGGCCTGTAATTCTGAAGAAGTTCATGAAAACCCTTAAAAGCATCAGCTGGAGGCATGAACACATATCCCAGTTCTATGCTCTCCTCCCAATACGAGGATGTAAGTGGCACACGTCCCTTGTGCTGGCCCTCTGCACAAGGATGAATTTCACCAGTGAGACAATGAGTGCACACAATCTCAGGATGTTCTTTCCTACTCCATTTTATTGGTGCTATGCACACAATTCCTGTACATCCTGAGCAAAGACAGCTAAAGCATCAGTGAAGCTTCACAGAGCCAACTCCACTGCCCTGAGTGCTGCAGTATTCATGGGCCCTAACCCTGACCCACACACAGAGGTTTCAGAGTAGCAGCCGTGTTATCCGCAAAAAGAACAGGAGTACTTGTGGCACCTTAGAGACTAATAAATTTATTTGAGCATAAGCTTTCGTGGGCTACAGTCCACTTCTTTGGATGCACAGAGGTATGTTCAAAGTCACTTCTCAGACAGGTGGACAGATGTCCAGCCACAGCCAGCGTCTACCTGGAGTCCCTCTGTTTGGGATTCTCCATCTAGAGAGCCCCTGTGCCTTCACAACCCCTCCCCCCCCCAAAAGAAAAATTAAAATAACCCCAGCATTGAACACAAAAAGGATTTCACAGTATGGTCATGAATTGGCAAGTCCTCCCTACTGGTACTTTTTAACAATTAAGGGAGCATCTGCAATAGCTATCTTATTCTGATGTCAGATATTACTGAAATGAAATATCAGTTCATTTTTCTGATGTCTTTCCTGCCGGTAGGCTTGTGTTA